AATTTAATTATTTATGCACGTAATATAAATTACAAGAATATGTAGAAATAAATAAAGTATACTTTGTTGCTATTGTCAATATTATGTGAACATATTCATAGTTGCTTTGTCGAGACCTCATCACACGTCAACAGAACTTTTCTTTTATTAGATTATACAGGACAGGATGCTCACTTTCTAGTATAATCTCATCGTAACTTAATTGCTCTTGATTTACTTGCTGTTCTTGTTGTTGTTGTTGTAACTGTTGCTCTTGTTGTAGCTGCTGCACCTGTTGTTGCTGGTGTAGCGGATGCTCTTGCTGTTGATGCTGCTGCAAAATATATAAAGAAACAATGCATCATTCAATTATACAATATTTTCACTTATGAAATCTTTCTATTTAAAAATTTCTCTACCGTATTAAGAATCAAAGAAGCTGCTTCCAACTTCCGAATTATTCGACCTTTTGCCATAATATTAACCCACTATTCGGTCAAGTTGTAATATAGAACAGCTGGACATCATTAGATTGAAAATGCAAATCACAAACGTACTGTTTTATTTTAAATCTGTTGACAGTCATTCACTTCACATACTATTACCATATTTAAATTATTTTCGAAACTTTCTATTTACCATTTATAAAAACAAATTGTAATAATTATTGACTTGACTTCTAGTTTTTAGGTTAGTATACCTCCCCGCTCCCCAATATATCTATTAAACTCGATATAAATAAAATAAAATTGGTTATTTGCTTACTTCACTCGTATTTATGAAGCTACATTCATTTGGGTCATATGGAACACTAGCGCCACCCCAACTTCTGCCATTTCTTGGACAAATTTTGTCAATTTTTCCGTATGAGTTCGTGCTCCTTATCTAGTCTCCATGATTGCAATTGTCAAAATTTATTCTACAAAATCTTTGTGGCGACATCTATAGACTCTTTCCCCAACTTGTATATCCATCTCAAGTCACGTGGTCCCCAGTTTCCCCATATTTTCAAGTATAAGTTCTCGGGCCCTGACCTGAATACTTTGATTACTTTGTATCTAACATAACCTCAAATCTCAAATTTACCATATCTGTGACTAGTACTTTTTAAATTATTGATTTCAAATATAAAGAGATAATTATGAGGTAGTCATTGACATGTTTTGAACTGCAAAATTGATAAAGATCTATTAAAATGCTTTTATATTTACAAAACATCAACAATGGTGAGTATTTTTCAATACACAAAATTTGTGTCACAAAGTAATTATGACAATATTTATTACAGAGAATGTATTTTATCTTACTGAAAAGGATAAGTTCCTTGTCGGAAGAAAAGACTGTGATTTTTTAATACAAGATGATCAGTCTATTAGTCGAAAACATGCAATCATACGTTTGAAGGTAAGTTTTTTACTTTGATTTTTAAAAATAATGGAGTCCTTTCATGTATTTACAAGAGAGATATATTGCACTAAAATGTACATATTTTTATTTATAGGAAAACAAGGTCACTGTGGAAGATTGTGGATCAAAATATAACACCCTATATAAAGGCGAGAAATTGCACCCTAATATTGAAATTGAGTTAGCAATTGGTGATATTATTCAGTTTGGGGTTAGTCACAGCTCATATAGGTGAAAAATATATATATTTTTTAACAATTTATGTCAAAAGTGATTTTACTTAAAGCAGAAAATAGGTATATTCTTTGATTTTCAAATATACGGTGATTTCGCCTGTTTGCGGTCTTTATTGGTTCCCAGGCACTAGAAGGTATTAAATTCAATAATAGGTAGTGATAGAAAAATTCGAATATAATATCGAGTAATACCCAATTTTTATAAGTACTAGCTGTTCTCAGATACCTACTGAAAGTACTCGAATACTTTTAGTTCTCGATAGTTGCCAGGCTACCTAACAAATATTGTACGAGATGCGAGTTCTCATGCCCAGGAAATATTCGAAAGAATTTAAATCAATTACCTCATCAATTACTGATTAGTGTATCAAATTAATCGGAAGAATTTGAATACCTTTAGTTCTCGGTGGTTATTCACTTGAACAAACGGATGACTCATAATCGGAAAAAAATTCTATATACCTACATACATATTCATAATTTTAAAAATGTTTTTAAACACAGCAAATTGAAATAATTGCACAAAACAAATAAAAATGTAAATGTTCCTCCCCATTACGATTATAATGTTCTTCATTCAGTGTTCAATCTTCGGTCCTGCACTTGGTTCTCGATTCTCAGTACTCGAAGAACCATTCAATTCTTACAAGTATCCAAGAACCAAGTACTCGATTCTGCCCATCACTAATAAATAGGAAAACCGTAAGATTACAAATTTAAAGAAAACGTCTATTTTCCACCACCATTATACCGTTAAAGTAGAGTGTGGCTCCATCTGTCGCATAAAATGTTAATTTATGACACTTGTTATGTATTGCATTGTAACGGATTTTGTGACGACTTTAATTTTTGGTTCAGAAGGTCTCCACTATTTGGAAAGTAAAAAATATGTTTTACTATTTTTTGTGGAATTTGTTAGGTGATATTATTATCAAATGATATTTAAATTGGCATTAAACTTTAAGTTTAATTTATTGTTCCAGAAAACAGGAACAAATAAACTTTTAATCACCTTGACCAGGTAATGGTCACAAATATTTTGTTCTTTCCCAATATTTTTTATTTGTTATGACATCCTCAAAAATAAATACAGGCTGTTACAAATGCGCTTCTCATTACAGGAATCTCGAAAACAGTAAGAGATACAAACTAGCTTAAATGGACGCAAAGTTGTGTAATCAGGGGACCAACATTATGCCTCTAAAAAATCAACGCTAACATGATTAGTTTTCGAAATATTTGAAAATAAACGAAATTTTGGAAATCCGTTTTTGTTTCATTTCAGCCTTGTTTGAGGTGATATTGAAAAAAGAAGAACACTTTCTGGTGGTCACTTTTTGCCCTCTATCGAATGGCATAATCAATTTTTATAAGTAACGTTTCGACTCTCCAGGACCATCATAAACTTCATTTTTTTAAGTACGACCCTAGAAATTTTATTACATTTTTTGCAAGTCTTTATGACCCTCAATACTGTACTGCCTCAGCCCGAACCAGATTCAGACGTTTTGTCTCGAAAAATTCATCTTCAGTGTATTCGTTCAAAATTTATCTAAATTTTTTATTTAGATTTCTTTGTTTATTGAATTATCGTACGCTGTAAGTGTCGTTAGACTCTGTGAAATTCTTGTAGTTATTTAAACTATTACCACCACCCATTAAAATAAAAAATTATTAGAGTTCTATTCCCGTGTCCATAGTTCTAGGCTTCTCGACTGCTCAAAACGCAAACAAATTCCATCTATTTTTTTTTTTTCAAGATATTCATACAAATACATCTAATATGCTTTGTCACAGTTGCGGTTACAGATATAATAAATTCCGATAATATTACGCTGATCTTCATTTTCAACCTTTGCCAAAACGAAAATGTTTTTTGAACATTTACTGAAATTCTTTAAAAAATAATATTCATTTGGCGTTTTGATTGTTCTTATGCATTTTTAAGAATTAATTTGTCATAATAAAATTAAAATTGTAATGTTTTAATTTTGACGCAACAACTTATTGGGTTATGTATGACCAAGTGTAATAATTAATAATAATAAATATTTTATTGTAACGTGTGGTAATAATATAGTATAATAGTTTAAATAACTAGATGGATTTCACAGGGTTAGAATACACTTACAGTGTATGATAATTCAATAAACAAAGAAATCTAAATAAAAAATTTAGATAAATTTGGAACGAATACACTGAAGATGAATTTTTCGAGACAAAACGTCTGAATCTGGTTCGGGCTGAGGCAGTACAGTATTGGGGATCATGAAGGCTTGCAAAAATTGTAATAAAATTTCTAGAGTCGTATTTAAAAAAATGAAGTTGATAATAGTCCTGGAGAGTTACATATAAAAATTGATTATGCCATTCGATAGAGGGCAAAAAGTGGCCACAAGAAAGTGTTTTTCTTTTTTCAATATCACCTCAAACAAGGCTGTAATGAAACAGAATCGGATTTCCAAAATTTCGGTTTTTTTCAAATATTTCGAAAACTAATCATGTTAGCCTTGATTTTTTAGAGGCATAATGTTGGTCCCCTGATTACGTAACTTTGCCCCTATTTAAGCTACTTCGTACCTCTTACCATTTCTGAGATCCCTGTAGTGAGAAGCGAATGTGTAACAGTTTATATAATTTTTGACCACCAAAACAAGCATTTGCCATCCATTTTTCAATTCCTACTTATATAGCCGAAATAAATATTTGAATAAACTGGTTTTCAATCACATACTTTTTTACCATTATTTAGTGGTTGACAAATAATTCTCGGCATCTCTGATTTTAATTTTTTCATTCTGCGTAGTGTATGTAAACTAACATTTCCATTTCTTGTTACTTTTCTGAATTTATTATAATTGAATGTGTGAGAGGAAAAATAATTTTATATAATCGTCGACATTTAAATGTTTTTAGTACATGAAGGTAAATTAATTAATTATTAAATGTGTCCAAAAAGAGGTCCCAATTATGTAATGGAAAATCATATTAGCCAATTACTAGAATGAACTGACTGGCAACGCATGGTGTGTTTGCAGAAGTTTTTTCATAAAACATTTAAGTTAAAAACATTGTTGGAATTAAATTAACATTCAGTAATACAAATTCAGACATATCAAATATAGTTTTTGCAAACACAAACTTAAAAAGAAATACTATTTTATAGTAGGTATGTTAAACTTCTGATTTCACTTGATTGACCAAAACAGGCGAGTTGACCGCAGTAAGATTTACATTCATTTTTCTAATGTAGATATAAATATAACTTCTATTTTGCACTGATTTAAGAGAATAAATATTTATTTTAAGTGCTTTTTCAGTTTACAAAAATATGTGTTTGTTACTACTGGGACATGTTTAAATAACAACATAAAAACAAAGTTAATATCTGACCTTTCCATAATAAAAGGAAAATATATAGATCAATGGACTTCAGATTGTACACATCTTACAATGGAAGAGATAAGTTTGACTATTAAATTTTTGCATGCACTGATAGATGAAAAACTAGTCGTCAAACCGTCATATTGGTCAAAGTTTGCTGAGAGAGTACAGAAACAATTACCTCCACCTAATATTAATTTGTATAATAAACCACCTGTAGCAGAGGTGTTATTAAGTAAAGTCGACCTTAGCCCCAATTCAACAAGAAAAGAATTATTCAAAGGGAAACTCTTCGTATTCCCAAAGGAAAAAGACAAGAAACGTTTGGAAGATATAATTAAAAAGGCTGGTGAGTATCTGTTTTGTGCATATTTCACCATTGCTATTATACAGGGTGGTCCGAATTTTATGCAGAAAATTTCGAGGGCAGATAGATCTCTTTAAAATAACATGTGTTTGCATTATAAACATTGGTCTGGAACAGCCCCGTTTTAGAGATACAGGGTGTTGAAGTTGTTAAAACAATTGATTTTTTGTTTATATCTCTCGAATCTCTTAACCGATCTCAATAAAATTTCGTTCAGATAATCTATGATAGTAGGCCTTGTGTTCTCTAAAATATGAGCTCTAAAGGTACAACCAGTGACCAGTGGTGTACAACTGGTCAGGGGCCATCCCCTTTTTTATAAAAAAAAAAACCTACGCCACCGCATTTTTTACAAGTTATTGTAACGGATTTATATTCTAATGCACAAAGTACGTAAAAAATGTAACTTGAATTTTTTCCATAAGATTCGCCGTTTTCAAGTTATTCATATCAATACAATCCCCTTGTGAAGACCATAATATTGCAATTAGATTTATGTTTATGCTTAAAAATAAGTGGAATTTGGAAGCACAGCAACAAAATTCTTTACACTCGTTTCCACACCACCTGTAAGGTAGAGTTCCTTACGCATTTTAGTTTCCCCTGGAAGCCTAACCTGCTATCTTTACAAATAAGAACAACTTAAATCAAAATAAATGCACAAAGACAATAAAGTTTGTGGACCTTTCCTCTTGCCATTTCAAAACTTTCTAGAAAACCATCTATTTGAATTATTAGAGGGTATTCCATTAAAAATACGACAAAATAGCTGAATCCAGTGGTGCTCTTGCGCGTTCTGGGAGAATAATATAAGAATGGCTTAATGAAAATTATATGGGGTGATAGATAGGTAGAAGTCCAAATGCCAATCTCAACCATAATGGTGCAGAGGGCCCAGTGTCTTGGCCAGCCAGATTGCCATATCTAAACCGCCTGGATCTATGTTCAACTATCTACTCCAACAAATACAAAACCACAACTACTGCAACAAATATAAGACGGGTGTAATGAATTAAAACAAAACCACCACATGATATTAGCTTCAATTAATTCCATTAAATAGAAGATATCAGAAATGTATCGATGTGGGTGGTTCACATTTTGAACAATTATAATATGTAACATTAATTTTGTTTCTTGTTTAGTTGCTGTTGCTTGGTAAATATATTTTTATTATTATTTTGATTTCAATAGTTCTTATTTGTAAAGAGTATTAGGCCTTCAGGGAAAATTAAAAAGCCAGGAACACTACCTCACAGGTGGTGTAGAAAGAAGTGTAAATAATTTTGTTGATGTACTTAGAAATTGCATTTACTTTTAAGCATAAACATAAATATTCTTGTAATATTATGGTTAGAAGTGTCTGCCACAAGGGGATTGTATTAGTATGAATAACTTGAGAAAGGCGTATCTTAAGGAAAAATTCAAGTTAAGTACCTTTTTTACGTATTTTGTGCATTAGAATATAAATCAGTTGCAATGACCTGTAAAAAATACAGTGGCGTAGTTTTTTTTTGTAAAAAAAGAGGTGACCCCTGACCTGTTGTACACCACTGGTTGAACCTTTAAAGCTCATATTTTAGAGCATGTAAGGCCTACTATCATACATTCTCTGTATCAAATTTTATTGAGATCGGTTAATAGATTCCGGAAATATAAACAAAAAAAATCAATTTTTTTTTAACAACTTCAACACCCTGTATCTCTAAAACGGGACTGTTCCCTGTTACATATACATATTATTTTAGCACTTCAAAATGCAAAGTTGTAGGAAATAACTTGATTAAGAAAAATTTACAAATAATTCTTTCCAGTGTTGCCAGATTTCTGCAGTAGCTACTAAAACGATATTTTTTTAAATGGCAACACCGTATTTTTTAACATAATTTAAAAAACCTTCAAATTCTAAATAGAAAATGTTATGTCACATTTTTTTATTGGAGTAGCCGTTTTAGACCAATCAGCAAAAACAAAAAATAATCTGCTGTTATATTCAGGGTTGGTTATATTTTATATTTCAAATAACCCTCAGTTGATGTTTTTGTTGGAAACTTAATTTGATAAAAAAGTGTTTAATTTGTTTGTTAAAAAAATACGGTGTTGCTATTTAAAAAATATTGTTTAAGCAGCTACTGAAGAAGTTTGGCAACACCGGAAAGCATTATTTGTAAATTTTTCTTATAGTCCAATTAAATAAGCCTTTAAATTGAAATTTTGGTCAACTTGCCTGAATTTTTGATATGAGTTAGTTTGAGGTATATTATAGCAACAAGTGACAATAATTTTTTGTTCAACCCCCGGCCAAGGGTGAAAAAAGATAAAGCAAAGAAGTTTTTCGAGATAACTCAAAAAGGACAAGGGCTAGAAAAAAGTTTCTTATAAAAGTTGTTAAGCATACAATTCTACATAAAAATGGCATCTTGACTTTTTCTTGTACTATTAAAAGTAACAGTTAGGGAGGCTAAAAGTTAAGGGAAGATTTCAAAAATTTTAAAAAATCGTAACAAGCGGAAAAACGAATGAATTTTGTAATTTTTTTTTCAATCAACTCTAAAAAATGTGAAGAGACGTATTTTTTTTATCGGCGGAAAAACATATTTACGGGGTGAAATACACCCTCAAAGTTCGCCCCCCAAAACAGTTTATTCAAAATTTCTGGGGTTCTAATCAATATTTTGAAATGAAACAAAATGGAAATTACTTATGATAAAAAAAATATATTTTGCAAGTGATTCCGTGTTTGGGGGTTACTACCCTTATTTTTTATTTCAGAAAAACTATATTTGGTATTTATAAAAAAAAATCATATTTACTCAAAAATAATAAAAAATATGATTTATGTAAACAAATTGACAAAATTAAATTGACCTGTTTTGAGGTTTTCGTTAAAATCTCTGTTTAGGGGGGTGAACAATAAATTTGAAATTGTTATAACTTTCTTATTAAAAATTAAAAAATATATCTATATCTCTGAAAAGAAAGGTTAAGTACATTTTTTAGAGTAGATCGAAAAAAAAATTACAAAATTCATTCATTTTTCTGCTTATGATTTTTTTAAATTTCTGAAATCTCCCCTTAACTTCTAGCCTCCCTAACTCTGTTAATTTTAATTATACAAGAAAAAGTCAAGAGGCCATTTTTATGTAGAATTGTATGCTTTTTTTCTAGCCCTTACCCATTTTGAGTTATCTTCAAGAACCCCTTTGTTCTATCTTTTTTCACCCTTGGCCGGGGGTTGAACAAAAAATTACTGTCACTTATTGTTGTATTTAATTGGACTATTAGTCAAGTTATTTCCTACAACTTTGCATTTGGAAGTACTAGTCTATCACCTCAAATAAAAAAGTTGGTCTATGTCAGGTTTTAAAAAAACAGCACTATATAAAAACCTATTAAACAAAAACATTTGATGTGTACAGATTCCTGTAAGATCAGAAAAACAGAAATTAAGGCTGGTTCATGTTTGAACAAAATTGACAGTTTTTATAAGGATAAAGGATGGCAGGTACCATGCACGAATCCCAGAAAAAGCTCGAATAATTAAAATTTTTCCATTGATTTGTGACAGAACTCAGAACCGACAAATAATTGATGGTATTATAATTATATGTCATACTATTATGTCAACATGAATATTTCTATTTGTCAGCTTTTTCAGTATGAATTTGGTTAGGCAAAGCTACTTTCATAAAAGTACCTAACCTGTGACTGATCCATTTGGCGCAATTTCACTATTTAAAAAAAATTCAGATATTCAAAAAATTACAAAAATTAAATATTTATATTTTTTTACATTACTTTTTCTAAATCCTGATATACCTGTATGACAGTAGAATTCTGGACTACCCAAAAAAAAAGAGAAGCAGAATTTTTTGAGAAAAATTACTTTTTTGCATAAAATGAAAAACAAAACAGTCTTTCTCTTTTCAACTCCATCTATGGAGATATTGTACATAGCATACTATTTTAATGAAATCTACCTTATTATTAGAGAACGACCTATTGAACCTTACACACTCACAGTGACAGAGTCCTAAGAGAATGCTCTATTCATATATGTAAAAACATATTTGAATAGAGTTTAAAACAGTTAAAAGCTGGATTTGCTCAACACTTTTTGTCATGAAAAGAGATAGGGAGATACAATATGTTAACATCTGTGTACTTTCTCCAAAACTCGTCAAAAACTTTTTTTTTTACTAGAAATAGGGAGTCAGAGAATTTGAAAACTATTTCTGTTGCTACTCTGATTGTTATTCCCCCTCTTTGTCACTTTAGATTTTACTAATAGTAGATTTTTTTTTAAATATAGGGGGTACATCCATTTCCTGGGAAAAAAATTCAATCCCGCTAGAGGATATAGAAAAGTCACCCAAAGAATTTCTTATAATCGAATCTGGGGATATGACAAACGATCCTAGCCTGAATGAAGTGATTAAAAGATTTTCAAAACAAGGGAAAAGAACCATTCCTCTTCAAGAAATTGCAATATCAATTACACTTTGCTCATGCGAGAGAGACTGCAACCCTAATTTCAACAGAGTAGAAGAAGTTTTTCCTTTATGTAGACCTACTGAGCCTACACAAAGCAAAGCGCTCGCTGCTAATACTGAAAGTGAACACTTTACAATGAGAGAACTTAAGGCCGAGGAAAAAGAAGAGCCAGTAACTGTTCCAGATACGTTTGAGCCCAAGGCGGATGAATCAGAACCGTGTGAAATTTTTGCAGAATGTGAAATAATCACTGAAAAAGAGATTGATAATAGACAGTCTGTAAAACGAATAAATGATGATAAACTAGAGAAAATATCATCGAAGAAAATAAAAATTGATAAGTAAAGCACTTCACAGGTTTATGTTTATGTTGTAATAATAAATTATTGTTTTGTTATAGTGACAATATCAGTAATTTGCAGAAGGATAAGACAAGAGAACAGGTGGAAAGCGACGGTTTCATATCTAAGGTAGACATTTTATTATATTTCACTGTTTTTTTATCGAAAAGCAACAAGAAAAAAATAGATGATAGACCTTGAAACTTTGTGCAAGAGTAGGTAATGTAAAATGAGAATTTATTTTTTAGCTTTTAAAAAGAACAAATGAGTATAAACGAAAAGGAACCAAAAATTATGTTCCACATAATGTATGTAATATTTTAATAACAAAAATTTTTATATTTTATTAATAGCGAAAATTGTTATTACAAAGAGGAAAGTTCTGAAAACGTTGAATATTTTTCAGTGTTTTCGAAATTAAGAGTTTGGTGAAAGAACACGTTATGTCCACTTTCTAAAAGTCATGGAAATACTGAAAAGACTAACTATAAGTAACTAAATTAATGAAAATGTTGGCTTAGTTTCTTTTTATTTAAATTTTTTTAATGTGGAAATTTGTTCCAAGATCCTTAATAATGTGTACGGGCTGGTCCATTTTCGGTGGGATTTCAGGGTAGCTCAGAAACTACTAAAGATATGATAAATCTGACACCACGTTCCCGAGCTCGATTTTCATGGCAAACTCGACTGTCAAATCAGAAATTTGCTATCTTCATTTGTTTCTGAGTTACAGGGAGTTTCTCGTTATTGTGACACTTTTGAACATGTCTGTATCTCAGCTGTTAAATAAGTTAGAGTTAAAGTGAAAACTGCTCAAGACTATACGCACTACTATACACACACCGTATATTTATGTTTCGAAGAAGCTTCGTGGTTACGACAGCCTCGCATGAGGTTCTCGTTTTTTTAAATAAACACATCCACACAACTACTCCGAATACCATTCATTCCGAAACTTCCGAACATACAAGTTGTCTTTTGACTTCCCCCTTTTTTCCACATCGAGAGAAGGCACAGGTCTCTCACAATTTAAAAAATCCTTTTTGTCCTCAATTTTCCATATGGAAAATGGCATTTCCAATAAAATACATACTGGATCATACATATGAAACATTTCTACAAATTATTGGTACAAAACAAATATTAATAAAGAACCGTTATAATCATGCACTGGGCGATGTATCGTATTATTTGATTAAGATTAAAGATATAAATATTAAAGGCTATCAAAAGAATTTTCACTCCTAGCAAAAACTAATGCAGCTGTAATATAAGCCCTTCGTTTTTATTGTCAAATAAATCGAGTTTTTGATGAGAATTACAATGAGATTTGTATAGAAAATGCATTGGTGATGACTAAAAAAATAAATATGTAGTTACATTCGAAATACAAAAAATTTATGAATAAGAACTGAAGTTGAAAGTCATTGCAAAAAAAATGCAAGAATATTTACTTAGGTTTAGGGGTAATTTTTTTTTTAATAATTCAGAATTGCCTTATAAAGTAAGGGTCTAAGGCTCACCGTTTTCACTGTACAGAGTTTTTAAAATCATATTATCTATGAAATCTTTGGTATGCTTAAAACAAATTGATTCTTTGGTGAATAATTTATTGAGTTCTATTTGTGGTTAAAGTTTGATTCACCCGAACTGAAACACGCTGTATATTTTTAAATTACTTTGCAGAATATTTCACCTAGGAAAAAAATCAAAGAAGATAAACAGAATGAAAGTAGCAGGGACAGCAAAGCTAATCAGTCTATTTTCCTCAATAAAAATAGAAGAAATGTGGTTGAACAATCGTCTCCAAAAAGTAATCCGTTCAAGAGAACGAAGAAAGACAGTGATAATATTACTCAAATGAACAAAGAGAATCCATTCTTACTGTCATTGGGAAGTAAAAAAAGAACCAACGAAGGTTCATCAGAGACCTCCATCTCTAAAAGGAAAATAAGCGATACTATGGATAAAATTTTTTCTAGTACTAAAATTGAAAACATTTCTCATAATATAACTGGACTAACCAAAATTTCAAGAATAAATAAAGACCTTATGAATAGTACTTGGATGTCTAAGAATGTAACAAATGTAATCAGTATAGAAAACGATGAAATGGAGGATCATTTCGATAAAGAAATGAAACAGTTTATAGAACAATTTAAAAATACTGTTATTGTAGAAATTATGGAGAAAATGCCTTCGAAGCAAAAGATTTTGAGAGACCATAGTGATGTTTGTAATGGAAAAGTGAATTTCAAAATATTTAAAAAGGTATGTATGGAACCTACACAAATTTAAAAATATTTATTATATATTTTACGTTTAGGTAAAACCTTTAAGACCACAAAAGATAATTATTGGAAAAGTCAATTTCACTTCTGTAGATCCAGGGGACACTGCAAGTATTGCTGACAGTAGAAGAGAAATATTTTCAAATTCAGATGATGAAGCTGAAGGGAACTTAAGAGTTAAGAAGAAAAAGCCAAAGAAATTTCTTATTTGAAACTGTCTCATAATTTATTTTTTGAACACAAAATTTTATTCTGAGAAATCCTCCCTGGATCATGGGTATGAATGGTATGCCATTTATTTCTCTTATTTGGAAGTTTATTGGAGTGACTTTTACAAACTTATATCTTTGCATTACTATATATTTCTTCTGATATTATTGTATCGAGCATTTATTCAACGTGATCGAATGTTATAATTTGCCCTTTTATTATAAATGTAATTAAAAGATATCTTATATACATAAAAACACATTAGCTTGTTAATTTTTCTTTTAATTTAGCAATCTCATTTTCTGCAAAATTTATAACCTAATAATAATAATAAATATGTATTGTTTTTTCTTTGATCTTTTTTTCTTCCCTATTATAAACAGTTTTTGGTAATTAAAATAAATTGAAACACAGCCATTCTTATTTACATCATAATATAAGTAGGTATTTTGAGAGAAAGGCTTTCAAAGCCATCTGTGGCTATTGGCAACTTTTTGAACTAAACTATCTGTAGATACTCATCTTAAAAATAAAGGAAAAATTTTAGATGTTCTAATTCTAATATTGCTTATAAAATATAGCTCAGTAAATGAAATTTGTAATACAGGAATGAGGAAACGGAACTGCAAATTGGACTGTGCAGTTGTTATTATTTCCGTGCGCTACCCAGATTAAAAAAATACGTTAAAATTGGTCCACAATTACCGGAGATATCGCAAAATTTTGGGCAGTTAAGATTTGAAGTCTCGGAACGTTTCTGTCTTATTTTTCCCCCACCACGTTCCAGGCGTAAAAATGTATTCGAGGACGTTTTTTAAAGGGTTAAAAATTACTATAAAATGCATTTTTTTCGATATCTTTAAGTTATTATGAAGTTTAAGGGTTGATGATTTATTTCCGAAATTTCAAGTCTTAATGTTTATAAATAAACAAGTTATGAATGAAAAAAAACCGCTATCTCGGCTAAAAATGATCCTAGAACATTTTTTTTAAAATTCGTGAAAAATTTACGAATTTTAAAGGATTACGAATATCAAAGCGGCTTTAAAAAAAATTAATTCGCAAAATTAACGAAAAACCTTGTAAACAAATTACACTATTTGTTTATACGCCGTTTTGAGAAGGTTAGCCTATGAAATTACAATTTCCAATTGTATATCTTGAAAATATAAGTCAAGACGAAACAAATGAGCCCTCATAAGGCCTTCATTATAACGCTAACAACCGCGTATTTGCAATTGAAAAAATGCTATTTCTAATAAAAAAAATGCAAAAACTCGTAAACAAATAAATATTTTTTTACCAAATTTTCACGGTTTCTTAAGCGTAACAAAATACAACTTTTACTGCAGTTTAGAGACGATTTATGCTCTTTTCTTCTATTTATAGCAAATTCAAATTTCGCTGTTTTTTTTGCAATTATTTAAACAAATTGTTAATGGATTTTAATTTAAATTTAGCAGGCCTCAAATGAAGCGTTTTTTGAAAACCTATAAGTATAAACAAAAGCAAAAACTTCTGTTGGAGAGCGCTTTTTAATAAAGCTAAAAAACTACATTTTTGGTCATTTTTACATTATAATCATTGTTTAAACAATGATATTGTTTTAAACCGATACTTTTTGGGAAATATTATTTATATTTGCCTAAACTAACGATTAAACCAAGTTTCAATCTGAAACGAATTTTTTTACAATTTTTTTTTTTTCATTCACCTTGCTAATATATATATAGTTTGTATTAGTTTTATTAATTTTTATTAACCTCATAGAATTTTTCTAATTTTTGGCTAAGGTCCGAATCATACATGATTCGGATTATGTATCATAGTTGATTTAGCCCATTTCAAAGTTTAATTATGTGTTCCCAAAACCTTTTTTGACAGGGATAACCTCTTTTATTAAACATATAACATTGAAGAGAATTTTATTTCATTTTGACATGTAACTACTTATTCTTACAAAGATTAGCAGTACCTATTATAAATGTGTACTGAATATTTCGTTGTGGTCTCTGCAAAGATTCCAATGCTTCCAAACGTTTCGCCGTTCTTCAATGCCGGCATCTTCAAACTCTACACATACTTTGACCACAGCTTAATAATATACAACTAGAACTAGAAGAGTCCGTGTCGGCGCCTTTGATGTGGCAGTCGAGAACCAAGCGAGACGGAATCGTGCTAACTATCAGATTAAGCGGAATAGTCGGGGCTGGATTAAAAGAATTTTTATTATTGAAATCAAATATTTAGTTTCTACCTGACAGTACCGTAGTAGGTAATTTTAATAATATGGAATTTGAATTAGAATATTACGTGGTATGACATTAAAAGTAGAAAATGGGTATTTTAGATAGGTAATAGGTTTTGTACTTGGAGTTAATACGGATTATTAAAAGAAAACTTGAAGAGTAATTAAAATTGTTGTTGTAAGCTCCTGTTTAGTGACGTAATCCTTAGAGAAGAAAATGGTTAAAATCGCGTTTTTTTTCTAACAAAAAATCGTAAATATCTCGAAAACGGTAGATTTTAGAGAAAAGTTGCATATGAACTTTTTTGTTCTAGATACCCCAAAGAGCCTATAAAAATGCATTTCGAGCAAAAAATCGAATATTACGAATTTGTTTAAAAAAAATTTAAACAATTTTTAACCATTAGTAACGTCTGGCAACATGCGGATATGTTTGAAGGGTCATTTTTTTAGTAAGATTATGAAAAAAAATCGAATGAGAATCATGTTCCTAGCGGGAGCAATGATACAGCCTGGACTAATACTTATACAGGGTGTCTCAGGTTTAAATAACAGGACTTCAGGAGGCTTTAGAAGACCTCATTTTAAGACTAAAAGTTCCTATACGTACATATAAAACATATCTACAATATAATATATAAAAAAATATAATAACATAATATATAGTATTAAAAATATAATCATTACAGATTTCTCCATTATTATAAGTTTATTTTTTGAATATTCCTAAAATTTTGGTTTATAGTTTATAACGTATAATAAATTCTAACCCTTAAATATAACCTAAGTACAAATTCTTTCGGAAAAGAATGACACGGATGACTAAAAGGTAGTCTTTTAATTAATTCAAGAAATGTGCTACAAATGTTATTTTTTGTGGATAATTGTTCAAAATTATCTTGAAATATCTTTTCAGTGTTACAAATGAGCTCAACAAAGTTATCGTTTGGCATTTGCAATTGTCCAAATAAGGTATCTTCNTCAATGTATTCGCAATGGTTCCCGCTAGTGAGTGAGATAAATTTCAATGCTCATGAGAACAGAAGAATAATTTAAATAAATGCCAAAGTACCTCAATTTTAACCATACTGTTAGTCTGTCAATATATTGCATTTACGACGGAACTAGGTCAGGCACAACAACCAAACTACTTCACTCACTAGAACGGACACCTAGGATCATTTGTATTTAATTTTCAGATTAATATTTATTAATAATTCTATAATTTGTGTCCTCAATTAAAATGACAACATTTTACACGATCGTCCATTTTTATTATGTCTCTAAACCAAAATTGTCGCGATTCCTACTGGACACGAGATCTTCTAGGCATAGTTTAGTTTGTATACTCTCTCACAGGTGTCGCTACCCTTGAAAATGAAATTAAACACAGAGGTGGTTTATTATAAAATGCGTTCTAAAATAAAGCATAATGGTCTAATATTATCTTTGATATGCCATTCTCTTTCAAATAATTATTTTTTGTTCAACGGACTTATCAGTTGATCTAAAATCTAAATATAAATGTTAATCACTGTAAACAAATAATTTTTCAATAGCAGAAATTAATAAAGGCTAATTTTAATATCAGTAAAGAACAACAACAATTTGGGCTTCCACGTATTAGAAACTGTAATAAAAATAAGTATGTGTAATTTTTTAAAAGTACCTAAGTAATAAGATTTTGTAAACTTAAGTAGTACGAAAATATAACGCATAAAAAAACAATAATATGTACTAATTTTTCTTTATTAAGAATAAAGATTAAATTTTACGTACAGGGTGTCCCAAATAAAATCGTTATGTTCTAGCCTTGGTAGATTCAAAATAAATTTATAGCTTAAAAATTAGTCTGGCTCAGGTAGATTTCAATCTACAAATCAGTAGCTACTTACCCATAAGAAGGAAACCACTGGATATTTATTAATGAAAAAAGTGACGACCAAAAAAGTAATTCATTCTTGAATATGAATATAACTAACACAATTTTAATTTCATATTGTCTTAACAATAACAATCTACTTTTGCGTATTTTTAGTCACTTAGTGTAATACAAAAAAAAAACATTGAATTTAAAATGTTTATTTTTCTCATTTCTTTTCTTGAGTTTCCATTAGATATACAAGCCGGGTCTTTACATTTCCTTTTTTGCCTTCTTAAAATGAACTGAATGCAAATATGAGAATAAAGTGATATTTCATTACAAAAAATATAAGTTTGATGTGGCGGGGAATTCCAGAACAAAATATTTTTCAAATATGCTCCTTATGTCTTATTGCGTTGCAAAAAATATATATTTTTGTATTTTCTGTTAAAGCATAACACAACATAGCGACACTAAAACTTTGCTACCATGGGTGTCTCCCTTCTCTTTTATTATAAAAGATTAGAGTTGTGTCAAGAGGATTTAAACCGGGTCCAGTCTTTTCATTTAAACCCGGTCTTTTCAATAATTTAAATTTCGCGCTATTTTATAGCCTCAAAGCAGATTAAAATGTCAAATATTAGCCCCACCCTACTTATACTCCACAGTCGAAATTATAGAGAGTGATTCATCGCTAGCTTTTGGACTAGTAATGGGGATGAAGCGTGCCGGGAACGAAAATCCATTGGCGTGTCTGCGTAAAAGGCAACAAGATATAGAAAATATTGAAAAAAGATNATAGCTTAAAAATTAGTCTGGCTCAGGTAGATTTCAATCTACAAATCAGTAGCTACTTACCCATAAGAAGGAAACCACTGGATATTTATTAATGAAAAAAGTGACGACCAAAAAAGTAATTCATTCTTGAATATGAATATAACTAACACAATTTTAATTTCATATTGTCTTAACAATAACAATCTACTTTTGCGTATTTTTAGTCACTTAGTGTAATACAAAAAAAAAACATTGAATTTAAAATGTTTATTTTTCTCATTTCTTTTCTTGAGTTTCCATTAGATATACAAGCCGGGTCTTTACATTTCCTTTTTTGCCTTCTTAAAATGAACTGAATGCAAATATGAGAATAAAGTGATATTTCATTACAAAAAATATAAGTTTGATGTGGCGGGGAAT